GTCGTGGAGAATAGCCTTGTAAAGAAATTCAGTTACATTTTTAAGAATGCAGTTTGTTGAGTGCAACTCGGAATCAAGGTTGTCAATGAAGAAGCTGTCGTTACAACGGCTCATCAGTTTTGGAAGTAATTTTTGAAGGTGCTGTTTGCAAAACGACAAATGTTTAAAACTGTTAGAACAGTATGTACGGTCCTTAGAGGCCAACGTGTTCGAAAAAGCGTTGTCCTGCCGCTGCTGTGTGATGGTGCAAATTTACAGCTCATCCGTGGGAGCGGAAGACGGCAGCACAAATTGATAATTGGTGAATAAAGAAGAATGTCAGTGAGGGTGTTCAAACCGGTTCGGGAAAAGGTGGTATGGGGGAGGCGTGGGGTAGAAGTAGAAGAGAGGACGGTCAGTGATTGCTAACATCATTCCGCTGCAACCAGTGCTGATATTTAGCCATCCCTGTGGTGTGACAGCTGTCGAAACTGTTTTTTCCTAAGCCTCTTTCTGTTTTACCTGTCTTTTCAACTGTTTTTATACGTTTCACTTATTTTTTTTTTTTTAAAGAATTTTCTGTACGTATTTTTAATATGTTGCTAATCGTTTTCATCTTTCGTTATATCAATAAATTCTTCCAAAATCTTTTTTAAAGAACTTTCTTTTTTGGTTTAATATCTGTGGTTTTCACTTTTAAGTTTACCTGTAGTCGTTTTTTTTCTTCTGTAATAGAAGTAAAAACTAGTTATGTTTTTGTTCAAAATTTTCAGCGTTTGTTATAACGACCGTTAAGACGGTATGATAGACTGTTGTGACACTGTTTCATTCAGTTCAAATTTCTGAAGAAGATAATATTTTTTGTTAAAAATACTGCAAAATCATTAATTGTCAATACAACTGCATTTTTGTACAAATATATTTTTTTCCTTATTGTTTCCAGATTCTGTTTACAGAAGAGAAAAACCAGTTATTTGGGGACGATATCTCCCAGGAAAGTTTTATTGAAAAAATTTCCTCTCATTTGAAGTCTCCTTTATCTCTGTTTTGTTTCATTGAACTTTCTTGAGCAATGGTTTTTTTGTTTTGCAATAGTTTTCCAGGTTGTTTTGCGATTTTCAGTATCGTATTGATAGTTTTATGCTGAAGCTATCAGTCTATATTATAATTTTGCTCGGTTTTCCGGCAGTTCTATTGTAGGCTACGGTTAAGACGTTGGTATTCTGACACCAGTTGATAGTTAGTTGATTTGTATTTTCAGTAAGGATCTGCTGAATAAGTCGAATAACTTGTGGAATAGTGCATGTAGTAGATGTTCACGCCGGTTTTTTGATAACTGATTGATTACGGGTCTCTGTTGATCATCATAAAATATAATGTCTCATACTGCTAGTAGTAGCTGAAGAATAGTGGTGATGGAGCAATTAGATTTGTAAAAAACGGGTTTTTCTTTTTTTTGTATTTATAAAAGTTTTTTTCAGATTGAGAATAGCATTTGAAGTGCAGAACAATTTACGTACGTTTGAAGTTTGCTCATCAACATCGATTTTGATTTTAATTTTTATTCTGTATGAAAACGTCCACTTTGCTTTTTTTTGACGGATTTTTTTGATTCATTTTGATTATTTGGGCATTATTTTTTTTCAGCTTATTCAAAG